GACAATGAGGAATCAGCGATGTGAAGAAAAATGGCGTCCGATGAACATTTGCGCGTTCTTAGGAGTTAAAACGACCGAAAACGAGAGTGTTTCTGCTCAACAGACTGCCTGATAAGGTGCAAAAAAATCTAAAGAAAGAAGGTGAAAGTCAGATTTTGATACTTGGAAAAATTTTTTTTGAAATTTGCTTGTTGATGGTGAAATGTTTGGTGTTGTGCAAACCTTTTTTACATAGTGCTGTGCTTTTAAAGATGTAGCAGTGAGTTGCGCCGTAAATGTGCGGGTTTGGTTAACGCCATGAGAGTTTACATGATAAAAAATATTGTCAATGGATATAGCATTAGGTAAATCTTTAGATTTATTATGAAAGTTATATGTCGTCGACCCAATGAACGTTAACTTGAGCCAATCACAAAGTTTTCTAGATCGGAATTGATATTATTATCAAGAACATCTGCGTGAATAGTAGAGGCAAATATTTGCGTATCGTCCGCAAGTAAACAAGGTGTAGTAAATTCTAAGCAATTTGGTAAGTCAGCTGTATAAATGAGAAATAGCAGAGGGCCAGAATAGACCCCTGAGGAACTCCACGGAGTAATTTTCTTTGAGAAGATGAATGTCCATTTACGAAACCTTGTTGTCGGGTGGTAAGATAGGACTTAAACCACATCAGTTCCCTACCAGATACTCCATAAAACTCAACTTTCTCTAGTAAGATCGAATGATGGAGGGTCTTTCAAATATCAAGAAAAACTACCCCGATCAATTTTCCGTTGTTCATATTTTCAAACCAGTTGTGGCACATTTGAATTAAAGTCCAGACAGTCGGGTGAAGAGGGTGAAATCCTGACTGAAACTCAGACAGAGTAGAATGTCCGTTAGATAGTGATATAGTTGGTTAAAAACGTCTTTCTCGAAAACTTTACTAAATATTGGCAAGATTAAAATGGGTCTACAAATTCGTAAATCATGAAGATCGTTATCTTTGTTAACCGGGCACTAACTTACTTACTTAATTACTTACTTACTTACTTACTTACTTACTTACTTACTTACTTACTTACTTACTTACTTACTTACTTACTTACTTACTAAGCTGGAAATTATCTCGAGCTGTCCCAATAAACCAAGCACATGCGCATTTTTACATTCATCAACAAAAATCTCAGAGGAAAGAGGCAAATTAAATATGAATGTTAATGATGGTGCAGTTACACTTAAAGCGATTTTTTAAGACCTCAGCAGGGATCTTATCAAGACCGGTACTTTTTGACACTTTTAAGTTTTTTAGCGTAACCGCAACGTTTTCAAGCGGAATTTTAGTGAATCAAAAGACTGGAGTATGATCTAGGCTGTTGTTAAGGTATTTAGTAACTTTGTTGGAAGACGTTTTCGTTGGTTTCGTTGTGGTAGGTAGAATGCCAAGCAGCTTTGTGGGACTGCTGGATTTTAATTTACGATAGAAAGATCTAGGGACCCCTCGAGCTCAAAATTGCCTGAAATTTTGGTAAGAAAAGGAGCTGCATCTTCAACATTTAACTATTGTCCTGGTGCTGTTGGAATACTATCATAGGTGTAGTTTGCGTGGAGAATGCAATTTATCATTAAATTCATCCATACTTAGACAATGACGGTTGTTTATCTATTGCCAGAGAAGAATTGTTAACAAAATAAAATTTGGCCCAGCGTTAAGGCAAAAGATGTGCATGAATTTGAACCATTTCTACCCAGGGTGTTGATTGTGAAACAGTGGATGGAAAGCACCAGATAATGGAAGAGCCAAATACCGTTTTCGTAATATTTGTCATCTAAATAGGGCTAGTGAAGGATTGTTTAGTTGTTGTTTTTGAGCCTGTGTTTGCTGGTAGTCCTGTGTTTGTAGTTTTGTCTGTGACTGATGAGGGTGGGGTACGGAAAAGGATTCAAGGGTGTCTGTGTTGTTCTTTTCTCATGCTTCTGATTGGTAGTTTTCATTGATGTTACCGTAATGGTTGTTCAATCGAGGGTCTTCATCTTCATCCGTCTCTTGGTTTAAATCATTGATAGGTGGTGCTGAAGTTGATGGCTTGGTGGGTTCAAGAAGGCTTTGACTGAAAGATTGAGCCAGATTCTTCATTTCTTGTAGTAGTGGTTAAGTACAAATTGGACATTGCTTGTTGGTCGTGTCGTAGCTTGAAAGGTGGATAGTGTGGTAGCAAGGAAGAAGGAATGTAGGTCAGGATTCGTTACAATACAGTCTTTAAAATCACGGATTTTTGACGGGTCGGGTAGAATGTTGGTGATGTTATCATTCCGTCTTGAAAATGAATATGCCAGAGCAATTGCTTTACTTGTAATTTTCGTATCAAATGTTTTTAGGTAGTACTTTTGTTCTCTGACGGGCGCACCGCTTACATTTACCTTAGAAGGAACCTTGAAACAGAGAGTAATGATTTGAATGATAAATGAATAATAATGTAAGCATTTATATGGCCCCATATTCATGGGCCCATGGTGCTTTACAAAGGAATAATTATTATAGATGGAAATGATGTTAAGAAAGTTTACATTCAGTGATCATAAAACATATGTAAAAACACTAAACTAAAATCTGTATAAACTAACAACAACTATTTATATCATACACATTATTTCAATACTTTATGTGAAAAACGGCAAATTGAGTAAGTCTTTATAGCATCATGATGGCGAGCAGGTTCTAGCAATGATTTGCATAGTTTAGATGCAGAAAATGAGAACGACCGACAGCTATAAGCCTTCAACTTAGCTGATGGTACCATTAGGAGTTTCTTAGAAGCAGATCTCGGGCTTCTTGATGGTCTGGTACTACCTTATATAAACCTTTGAAGGTTAAAAGAGTATCTTTTGACATTGTACGGACAGTGCTATTGGTATTAACATGGTAAATTGATTTGTCTGATATAAATAAAGTTGTAATATTAATGTAAGGCTATAAACTTTTTCCAGCTGTTAGATAAAAATGTGAAAATTTGATAATCATTAATGGTGCTCTCGGTCATAATTGGTATGGCTACATCTTTGTTCTTACAAATGACCTTCCACTTCGCAGATGGAGGGGGAATTAAGTTAGGATCCAGAGCAGTACAAAATTTATAATCCTCATTTATTCGTGCGACTTTTTTCGTAAACAACTTCTTACACTGGGCTAGTGGCTCTAATGTTTGAGTCATTCTTTCCTGCCGCCAGATACTTTTAGTTTTAAGGCATAATGCAGCCTTTCTTTGCTTAGTTTATCTAGATTCTCCGATTTAGTATCAATAAATATTTGTTCGAAAGAAACATGCTTCGTCTGACTGTCTGCCCTTTTGAAACTGGAATTTTCAAAAAAAACCGGGGAAAATCCGGAAGTGCCAGGCTCCTGCTCGGTATGAAATAAGGCAATGGCACAAATCTTGCACCAAAACCATGAATAGTACGAAAACTATTCCCCTGTGCACCTCTAAACTGTGCCGTTAGAGTATTAACTTCTGACTTATTCGTTCCCATGTCTCTCAAATGGCAGAAATTACAGTTCGTATACCTTTAAAAGAAAACGAAATATCCTTTAGTAATTATTTAACAATACAGTTGTTGCCTTGTTGGATATAGTGTGTAGCAAGTAATTACAAATACGAGTAGAGGAAAATACTACTGGAAACTTCTCTTGAACAGACACACTTCATCACCCGAAAGAAGACTTAAAGGGCCTTGACCGGAAGAACATTCCCTCCCAACTTTATCAAAAGGGAGAAACAGCTGTATCACGACACAAAAACACGAAAAAAAAATTGGTACAGTGTTTGTACTTCAAACGTGATCTTGTCTCTTGACGTCATTTCCTATTTTGCTTAAAATTATGCTTGCACGGGATCCCCTCAAACTCTGTTCACACGAATCCTGCCAGGCTAAGCCCTCATGCCAGTAGGGAGCTTAAACATCCACGACAACGTTGACAACAACAATGTCAAAAACCAATTGGTTCTATGAGCAAAACAACAGCTCTGTACGTGCATCACGCTTTTTAGTACATTTCATTTCCTTGATGCCCACTGCACTGACTACTGCGACGTGAAACCTTCAAATGCAACGTTCTATGGGGACGTGAACAAATTTCTTTTTGAACCTGGATAAAGACCTTAAGAGTTCAACTCCTGGAAAATCCGCTAAATTGAAAACGACGCAAATTCACTTTTAGTGACGCTTTTTACTGCCGTCGTCGTCGTTGCTAAAGTTTCTTAATATTTGCTTCAAAGCGAATTACGTGTGGTTGTTTGCTGTTTTGATTCCCTCATCGATACGAAAACGCTACTGCAATTTACATTATTTGCTAACTTCTAGTTTGTGCCACTAGTTTTCTCTTAATCTCCTGTCTAAATGTTGCGGGTCGCGACTTGCGGGTAGAGGTTGCGGGTGCGGGTTAGGGTCGCGGGTAAACAAATCACCAAATTTAACATTAAATTATCAGTAAAGTAAAGGAAAATTTGATTATGTTTCAAAGAAGATTTGCAATATTTTTTTTTTGGTCCATAGGTCATAACGAGGAAGTCTGGTTATTTAAAGCTAACTAAGGGCGATACAACGGAAAAAAGTCACGAAAGACAAATCCATATGATAAAAACTACTTTGGCTAGTTAAGTTTGTACTAAGTAGCGAGATACCTACGTTTGGAATTTTAAGGGGAGGTGGCTAAAGTAAAAAACTTATCTCGGGTTCAAGTTCTCTACAAAACCTTGAATACGGTCATTTTATGTAGCTGTTTTGCGGACTTTTTCAAAAGTCTTTCAGTTTTTTTATGGTTCTGGTATTGCGCACGAGCTCTCGCTCTGACGCCAAGTGTGGATATGTGATGACTTGTCTTGGTGGTTGATTCAAACAACCTTCCGGGGACTGCACCCACTGCCCTACCTTGTACACCCAGGGTTTAAGGGTACTTAAAGTTGGAACATTACAAAAAAGTAGTTGGCCCTTTGTAAACAAAAGCGCTGCAGTTTTTTGGTAAAATGGTTAATTTTCATGAGCTTCAAGAGCTTTTTCTCCTAAGTCACGCTCATGGCATTTTGGATGACGAAGAGCTGCTGATTTTGTACGAGGAGTATTGGCCAAAAAATCCCGACTTTTGCTATGAGAATTACGAAAGGTTTTCTCTTGATGATATGAACGATGCAGAGTGCTTGGCCGAGTTCAGGTTCAGAAAACACGATCTTCCACTTCTCGCCGAGGTCCTTCAAATACCAGACAGTTTTACTTGTTCCCAAAGAACCGTAACAAGTGGAATGGAAGGACTTTGTGTTCTTCTTAGAAGGTTATCTTATCCCTGCAGATTCAGTGATATTATTCCACGATTCGGCAGACCAGTACCAGTCCTTAGTATGGTCAGCAATCAAGTACTTGACTATATATATGACATTCACGGCCACAGAATCACTCAGTGGAATCGCCAAATTCTCTCTCAGCCCTTGCTGCAACTGTATAGCGACACTATTGCTGCCCATGGTTCTGCCCTAGACAACTGTTTTGGCTTTGTTGATGGGACTGTTCGTCCAATTTGCAAACCTGGAGAACATCAAAGAGTGGTCTATAACGGGCACAAAAGAGTACATGCTCTGAAATTTCAGTGTGTTGCCCTTCCCAATGGTCTGATAGGTCATTTATATGGACCAGAAGGTATGAAATTGTTACCCTTGATTTCTTCTGCTTTGATGATTAGTGTTAATTTTTTTTTTCTAATTTTCAGAAGGAAGAAGACACAATGCAGGCATGCTGGCAGATTCAAGACTCCTTAATGACCTCCAAGCATTTTCAAATTCCCCTTTTGGAAATCCATACTGCATTTATGGTGATCCGGCATACCCTTTAAGAATACACCTTCACCCCCTTTTAGGAATAGAGTCTTAACCCCTCAAATGATGGATTTCAATCGATCGATGAGTAGTGTCAGAGAATCAGTAGAATGGCTATTTAATGATGTCACAAACTACTTTAAGTTTCTGGACTTTAAAAAAAAATTGAAAATTGGTCTCAGTAGTGTGGGCAAAATGTATGTAGTCGGTGCTCTACTAAGAAATGCCCTTACATGCCTCTATGGAAATCAGACCTCCAGTTTTTTTCAACTGGATCCTCCTTCACTTGAAGACTACTTTTCCTAATTACTCCACATCTTTTGATATTACTTTTAAAATTGG